GGGGTTGTTTGGGGGTTGTGAAGGGAAATAACGGCCCTCGCCTGTAGGTGTAGGTGAGGGCCTGGGGGGGGAGAAGGGGAGGTGAGGAGGCAGATCTGGGGTCGGCACAGAAGGCCGACAGGCCGCGTAAAAGCCACAGCTTGACGCGCCCAGTTAAGCCGCGCGTTGTTTTCTGGCTTTGCCGGGGTTTAAAAATGGAAAACAAACGCAGGGGATAACATCTGTTAGGCAAACGCCTGAAGAGAAACCTGGCGAAGCATTAATCCCTCCGATGGCAGGAGCCTGACGCAGCCGCCAGTGCTGGTGCCATTACCCAGTGCCCTCGGCTGGCCGGGGAGCTCGGCCGGGCAACTGGGCATCCTCCAGCTATCCCTGCGGCTCACCCGTTCCAAAAGGGCTGCAGCCTCACGGGCAAGTCATCTCCGACAAGCGGAAGGTACTGTGCGAGTGAAGAGGAACAGGCCACCTCCTTGGGCTACGGATATTTGAGCAGAGATTCCCCAGGGGACACGTGGGAAGGTTTTATACAGAAATTCTGGTTACTGGTGGAAAGAAGAGGCAGTGACACAAGCGGATTCGCAGCCCTGCCGATGAGTCGATGCATAGAATCGTATTGACCTTCAAGATCTTCTCTGAAGGCACAACTGGCCAAGGGGAAATCCTTTTAAAATTTAGCAGAAGGGAGTCAGGAGAGGAGGAGGAAGAAATTAAGCTGGAAGCGCTCGCGCTGTGAGGAGTCTCCTGCAAGTGAAGGCATTTCTGCAGCTGATTTCCTCCACTGCACGGCAGAGCAGACAAGTCAACAGAGAGGCAGACAACTTTTCTTCTCTATTTCACTTCTGCAGCCTCCAGTTTGGCAGCGTTCCTCTTTACCTCTGGCAGCTCTCTATTTCATTCTGCTATAGATTTTCAATTCCTGTCAAGTTATTGTATTAAAGTATGCTGGGGATAAAACATGCTATTCTCTCATACTGTTCTTCAACTTCTCGTATTATTCTTCAGTTCTGTCATCGACAACTGGCAGTACAAAAATCGGAAGCCTGAAAGCACTTAAAGGCATCACAGCCATCAAATCTGTTTACAGAACTGTAACACTCCATCATGGTTTCCAAAATATAGTCAGTTGTGTGGAATCAGAAATCAAGTAACAACAAAGCCTAAGCTTGCTGAAAGATAAACATTCTTAATCCTTCAGTGAAACCTGACACAAGCGTAAACCCACTCTATCCCTTCTGTTTCTTTTAATTTTCTCTCTGCCCCAATCTACTTTACAGTAAAATGCCCAATGGCAACGTTAAATTCTTAATAGTTCTGTGTAAAAGATCATTTTCTGCTATTTAAGGGGACTCATGAAATGAATTTGGTTTTGGTCCCAAGTCAGAAAACACTGGAAGCTAGTGTCCGGAACAGAGCTGGGCACAAAGGAGACCACTATCCACAACCCATACCTTCTGAAATTGATGACAAATGACAACTGATAAGCTTTCCTGCTACTCTGGCAACAACAGAGAATAGAAGCGCAGACATCCCATACCGTGTGTATTTTCCATTATTGAGAAAACAACTATTTAAGAAACAGCGTATACTTCCTTATTGAAAAGGAGCTATCCATACTCCTTAAGCCATTTTAACCAAAACCCCAAATCTTTTTGTTTACATTACACTTGGAAACAACCTAGAGATGTGGCATGACCTGCCATATGCAGTGGTAAATGAAGGCATCCTCCCTGTCCAGTAATCTGAGACAGGAGTTCTGCACCAGAACAGCTTATTACATAATGAAACGGCGGACGGAGAGGCGGAATAGCCCCAAATCCCAGCCTCTTCAGGCTTCCCAAGAGAACAGTGAACTGGCTCAACATTCTTAATACAAGAACATTAAACTTCAGTTTAGACACGGAAGTTATTTTAATGAGGTTTTATTTAAGTAAACTCATTGCTTGTAGCCTTCTGTTTTGGCAATAGTCGGATGGAAAGCCGTTGTACAAATGCCAAATGCCTCCCAACCCAGCAATAGAATAAAACATGAGTTGCGAAGCCTACACGGCTGATCCTGAGAACCTGTGGAGTGCTTTTATACCAACCGGAATAAACCCATCCCAGCAGAGAAGCCAGGCACTTTGAAACAGATGGACAGCTAAGGAGGAACAGAAACGCCTGCTCCTGGAGCAAGCTTTCCGGGACTCACCCTGCCTCTCCTGACAGAATACAGCTGCTCGACAGTCTAGGAAGAGATGAGATAATCCCCAAAGTGTTTTACTGTGGACAGTCAATTAGAGAGATTCCTCTTCAAGCGAAATTTAGGAGTCTAGTAAAAGTTTGGGTAAAACATATGTCGGCAAGGGCTGGCAATCATTTGTTAGATTATTCCCTTTCTCCCAAAATGTTTATCAATAATGTGAAACCACCGTTAAAGTGACATTTAAGCAAGCACATGGCATTCTTCTAAGGCTTTAAATGACCCACTCCTTTGAAGCCCCAGCTGGGAGTTATACCTGCACTTCTTTCTCTCAGCCATGCAAGGCTGCAGAAGAGCAAAGTTCGCTTCTTAGAACAATCTTAGAAGATGACTGCTAGTGCATTTCTTTCCCATATTAGTTAGAACCTCTCTAGATAAATCTATTCTTCCAAACATGTTCAGACTCACAGCCCAGCTTACTGTATTAGTACAGGGAGGAGGGGAAGCCACGGAAAGGGAGCTGTGCTTTTAAAACTAGAAACTGGATTCTCTTCAACCAATTTAACTTCTGACCTTCTCAGCTGTTGGATCAAGTTGTTGCAGCAGGCATCGAGCCAGACAAGTAAAACATAAGGGCATGCAAGTTGCTCTGCATTCACTCTCTGGCTGTCAAGCTACTTGCAGAAGAAAGGTCCAGCATGTCAGATTGAAGTAACTTTTATTTAAAGATTAAAATCTGCTGCCACTTAGAGTAATGAAAAGTGAAAACTTAAATGGATTTTTTTTTTTATTTTTTTTATTCCTATGTCAGAGATAACTAAATGGGGCAGTGGGCTAAAAAAAAAAAAGTTAGCAGCATCGACTAGTAGAACAAGTCATCGAGTAAGGAAGATCGTGCTGGACTCCTACACTTTCATAACTGCTTTCTAGGTTCAAGCAGTTGCTGTGAATGACTGCATGGTGAGCTGTTAATCTCATTTTTACATGTGTTCTAGAAATCTGGATATAACTTAAATGAAAGTTAAATAGATACAATATTAAAATGTTTTGAAAAAGTTTAATCTTACAGATATAAAATGAAAGAAAGGTATATTTACTGGACCAGAAGGCTTTGAATGAGAACTGTGCTTTATTCCTTTCTGTCACAGACAAGCTGCATGACCAGTGACAAGCCAGGTATGCCTTTTGTGGCAGTAATCTTTCATGCAAAATTGAAATTACCTATTTTCTACAGCAAAAAGTGTTGTACAAAGAGGGACTAGAGTTATCTTATAGAGTAATCATTTGTTTCTTCAGTAAGCTACACAGTCACCCAGCATTCATGTTTTCAGTATGTTCTCTGAATTGAAATCACAGCCCCAGTGAAGTGAGAGCAAAAAATTCCACCTTCTGCAGTGGGTCCCACATTTCACCCTGTGTGTCTGTGTATCTTTGAGTCTCAAGCAGCACTCATACTAATGAAGACATAAAACAAAACAGCAAGTTTATGAAAGGCGCAGAAAATGAAAACTTTATTTTTCTTTTGCCTGAAAAGACACCTCTGCCTCCCCTGACTAAAGTGTCAATGTCTATAAATTTAAGACCAAGTATATTACTCATATAGATTTTATTACAAAGTTTTAGCAAAAACCCTAACGGAACGTAAAAAAGTATACAAAAATTTAACAGTTCTTTAGAAAAAATATTTTAAAAAATAGCGAGAATCATGCTTGTCCCTGAACATAGAGTTCATAGTTTGCCTTTAACACAAATTCGAAGTAAGCATTGTATTTCAAGCTGCCAAGTTCGTTCGCTTGCAGGAAGTCCTTCACCTCTGGTAAATACTCACTTAACTGAACTCCTACAACACAAAACGTTTTATTACAGCACTGATAAAAAAGTACTTTGCATTAGCAGCTAAGATCATTTTTAAGTAAACACTGGTGCCTGCCTCAGAGTTAAATTACTCTTTTGGAGCTGAGAAGATCTAATTCTATTATACATGTCAAGAAATACAATAAAGCTTAAGTAGCCTGTAAAACCGAGATAAAAACAAAATAAAAATTTCCTACCCAAACACAGCTTCTCAGTGAACTTATTAAACCTAAAATCCTTAAACCTAAAATCCAAGTCTTCACATAACATGTCACCAAAATAAATAAATAA